CTGCTGCTGTGTCCTGCTTTGTACTTGAGCTAAAAGCTTTTGGTAAAAAAAGCCAAAGTATCAAAGAGCACACAGAACATTCCGCACATACACGTGTGCACTCAGTCACTGCCCCCCCCACGGCTGTCTAAGGCCACGTTCTAGACTATTCTGCAATACATGTGTGCAGTCACCGTGCCCCCCACCCCCACCCCCGGCTAAGGCCACGTTCTAGAATATTCCGCACATACACGTGTGCAGACACTCGGTCACCGTGGTCGCGTCGATGAGATACCCGCTGCACAGGCGGCAGGTGATGTGGGCATTTATGTCCCAGAGTTTAATCTTTCTGGTCAACATCTTTGGCTTCTGCAAGAAAAAAACACGTATTAACTAATACATGAAATGGTGTGATGTTTCATCAAAGGTTCGGGTTCAGCGGAAATCGAGCTACAGTCTGTGTGTCCAGGAGGAGCTCAGCGTGAGCAGGGCTGAGGCCAGGTCCCCGCCCTGCGGCCCTGCTTCCACCATGAGACAGGCAACCACCCGGCCGCCCCTGGAGGACTGGGTCATCCTGGCCCCAGGGCAGCGCTGGGCCGCAGACACGCTGCCGCTTCTCGCTTCTCCCCCTTCCGGGCCCCCGGGCCCTCTCTTCCTGCTCAGAACCCCGCGAGGTCAGCTGGTGAGGTGGCGCGAAGCAGGGGAGGTTTGTGGAGCAGCGGGTGGAGAGGCCAGGGAGCAGATGGGCCGAGCTGAGTCTGGGTCTGGGCAGAAGAAAACGTGGTCTCTCTGGAGCTCTGGTTCCTCCGTAAAGCCGACCACACGGGAGCAGCTAAGGCCCCCCCACCCTGGGAAGCACAGCCCACAACACGGCATCGTAAAATGTCCAAACGTCTGTGCACTGAAGTGTGGACGCGTCGTCTCTGCGCCGGTGGGCGGGTGCCCTCCAGAGCTGTGGTGGCTCTGACTGGCTCTCCTGCCAGACCGCAGGCTCACGAGGGCAGGGTCTTGTCATCTGACCTGATACAATGCTGTGCAGCAGGGGAAACAGTCCCAAAGACACCACGTCCTACCCAAAACCTGTGTGTCACCTCACATGGCAAAAGGCCCCTGAGGCGGGAGACGGCCCTGGAAGCCCCAGCGGGACCTCGTGTCACCACAGGGCCCATACGAGGGCACGAGGCTCGGAGGAGACAGGAGAAGCTGCCTGTGGGCTGCGAACAGGGAGGGGGCTTCTAGGAGCTGGAAGGAGCCTCTCCGGGAGGAGCAGCCCTGCCCACACCTGGATTTTAGCCCCATGAGACCCGTTCTGGACTCTGGCCTGCAGCGCTGGCAGGTCAGACACCCATGTGGCCGCAGCCACTAGATTCCTGGGGATTCCCTGCAGTACAAGTAGGAGACTCGCCGGATGCTGACGCCGTGCAGGATGCAGGGGATTTTGAAGACAAGCATCACCAAGAGAACTCGGCAGAGAGAGGCAGGAACACGCCCCGGGAGACGGAGGCCTCGCATCCGCGCAGGCAGCAGGCTGGACGGTGCCGCCTCGCCCAGTAGCCACAGTGCACGTGGCCACGGGCTCCCGTGGCTCAACACTGTTTGCCCGAAGGCAGAGGGAAGGAAACGGCTGAGCGGGCGGGGCCCCCTGGAGACTAAATCGTCACCTGCACTGAAACCCAGCGGAATCGACTGTCAGCGCAGACTCACGCAACCAGCTAAGGCTGCCAGGCTCAGTTCACCTATAAAGCGAGAGAGCCTCTAAACCAGCAAGAACGCCCTATGACTTTATTCACAGAGAGTAAGATGTGAGGCAGACACTCGCGGTTCTCACCCGAGTCTCTCCTCTCCCCTCGATCACAGGCGCGAGCCAACGCGTGGTCCCCGCTAGAGACACCTCTCCCTCGGCCCCTGCAGTGGGCTCTGAGCTGCCAGGAGAGACTAAAAGGGGTGGTTCTCACAGGGGCCCCACGGGCCGACCCACGGGAAAAGAGCCCATGTCTGCGAGGCCCACTCGCTCTGGTGTCATGATCACTACGTGCTGTGCCAGGCCCGGCCTGACCACTCGCACCCACTAGGACCGGCTCCGTGAGGAAGGGCCCACACGCCTCGTGGAGCAGGAAGTAATGGGAAATAACCTAAAAGAGAGAAACCCTAGTCATTCCCAAGGGAAGCAATGCAGAGACAGGAGAGCGCTGACTGGGCAACGTCCCCGCTGGACGCCGAGGCCCAGGGTGTGCCGTCCACCACCGGCACAACCGAGCCCAGCACTGTGCCCTCGGCTCACTGGGCGCTGTTCACACACGTCACCAACCCACAGCCAGATCAAAACCAAAACCAGCTCCGATGTCCACAGACCGGGGGTTGGGGTCAGTGTGAACGTGTTTAGTGGCGACCAGGCAGACACGTACACATGTGTATGCACACGAGTATGGACTCATCCACTCACTTCCAGCTCTGTCTGCTGGGAGGGCCCGGGAGTGACCACTCCTGGGCAGCCCTAGGACCTGGCGTGTCCACACCATGTCTGCCGCAAGGGGCCAGCGCTGCCTGGACACGCAGCCAACTCCGGGCTGGGCAAGGAGCATAGCAGGACCTGGGGCCCCACTGTGCTCAGACAGGGAACAACTACCATCACTGCTTACCACGGCAGGATAACACAGAGGCCCATGAGGCTACACAGACAGACAGACAGACAAGGGATGCCCTTCCTCACAGAATGGGAGCTGATAAGTGGAAGGAGGGCTGCAAGGTCACCACCCCAGGACAAATGCAGTGACCACTCGCTTAGGAATCCTCGGTGGCTGGTCAGCAGCAGCAAGACTTCGCCAGGGAAATGAAGGTTCATAAAGGCTCCAAGCGTCTCCCCACCAAACACGCATCAGCGCCAAGGGAGGGCGGGACCCTCAGGGGAGAAACCCCTAGAGGTCCCCGACTGGGTGACCAGGTGACACCCAGGTGAGGACCGGCCAGCTATCACACAGAGAAGGACACAGCACCCCCGGCAGGACTCCTGCCAGAGGGTCCCCCACCCCGAGCCCCCAGGGGAGAGGTCACCCTGCAATGCCATCAGGGTCGTAAAAGCTAAGGCCAGACAGGGGGCCGTGCTGTCCAGGCGCAGCGCCCGCCAAGGGGCCTGGGCAGCCAGCTCTGCCCACACAGGGCCTCCATGCTGGCCTCAGGCGCACACGCAGCTGCTGTCGTGAGGGGCCAATGCTCACGGTCACCACCGCCACGGTACGGTCCCCGGGCCGCCCTGCACAGCATCCGACACCCAACACCCGACACCAGGTGGGCGCCCATCCGGACAGAGAAGGGTGGCGGCTCGAAGCTCTGGGTCCCGTGCTCCCCCGCCAAGTGCGGGGCCCAGGCGGTAGCTCGGACACTTCCTGGGACAGCAGGCCCGCCCGGAGAAGGCCGCATCTCCCACCTCCTCGCGAGGCCGTCTGTCCCCTCCTGCTGCCTCCGCATCGGACGCTTCCGGCTACGGGTGCAACGCGGTCACTCCTTGTCCGCCGTGCCCTCCGCGCTCTGGCTCGTCACGTCTGTGCCTGCCTTGTGTCTCTCGCTGTCTTTCCATTTTCTAGCACAGAAACGGCACCTGCTATTCAATTTCATGTCATTTATGTGACGCACACAGCCCTGTAATTACAGTCTTGCTAGAAGTTTTAGATGAGTCCCATGTAGCAAACAGTGGAACAGAGTCGATCAGAAATGTTAATCAAGAGAAAACTTGAATATATATAAAGAACTGTGCCCTAATCTGCTCTGGAGCTGTCACACGTTAAATTTTAAAGGAGTTACAAGGCACTGACTTTTTCTATGGCTACAACAGACTCATAAGGTCTAATTCAAGGTAAATTTAATCAATTCACATGCACTGAAAGAAGAGGAAGATCAAAGTTTACACGGCATTTACCTGTACACACAGCTGGATCCTCTGCTACATTTTGAAGCCTGTGGAGACACACGGGACGAGGCGTCACCCACACGTGCCGTCCACACAGAGCCTGGCTCCCCGGACCAGCAGCTTTGGCTGCTCAGGTAAACAGGTATCTTCCTTTACCTGCTTAAAACAACCAAAAGAAAAACAAGCCTGGCTGACAGTAAAGGCACGGGCCACGGAGACAGGGGCAGGTCTTGGTGGCAGCCTGGTGGCACCGAGGCCCAGGGGCTGCTGGGAGCTGGGGGCATGCAGGGGCTGCACCACGTGCTCTGGGGACCAAGACGGCAGGACAAGGGCCCCGGAAAGCTCCTGGGGAGGTGGTGGGCTTCAGGGTGACCTAGTGGGAGGCTGGGCCTCAGGGACGCTGGCGAGAGCGAACCGTGTTAATTTCTGTGATGCTGTTCGCATCTCACGCCCTGTGAAGGTGTCCCCCGGGCCGCTCACTCAGTGACCCGGAATGAGGACGCCCACAGGCTCAAGCCGGGCTCTGGGCCAGCACGGACAACAGACAAACCAGCACGTGGGGATGGAGCGGGCCCGTGCAGGCTCGCATGGGGCCTTGGGGCCTCAGCCAGGTGAGCACAGGCAAGCACAGGTGAGGAGGGGCTAGGACGAGCGGCAGGCCAACCAAGGAGCAGCAGAAGAGAGGCACTGAATCGGTAGCACAAGGCCCCTGGAAGGACCTGACCTCAACTCGGGGCAACGGGAGCTGCGGGACCAGAAAGCCGCCAGTTGCCCTTGGAGGTCTGAGGGGTGGGGTGGCTGTGGGCGTCCAGAACCTCGGTGGACCCCCCTCGTCTGCCCACGCCCCCCTCCTCATGGAAGCCCGAGGTCTCCCCACCCATCAGGGGGAAGGGGGCAGGGCCCGGGGGCTGCTCCCTTCTGAAAAGCAGGGGTGGAAAGCACCAGGGCCCTGAAACCACGAGAGGCACCTGCGGCTTAACAACAGTGCTTAAATGGCACCTGGGGACAAGAGGCCTGACACTCAAGGGATTCGTATCACACCCAACTTAGACCGCTTTCACTCTCCAAGTTTTCCCATAGCTGCATGCTTTAGTAACTAGTCTTTAAAGCTCAATTAACTTTTACAAGGAAAAGGAAGAAAGGGAGGAAGTGGGTCAGTTATTCAGGGAGATTAAAAGGCACTTACAAGAGAACAAAGAGGAGACCCGAACGTGGGTGTAGACCAGAACCCCTGTGGGGTGTAGACCAGAACCCCTGTGGGGTGTAGACCAGAGCCCCTGTGGGGTGTAGACCAGAACCCCTGTGGGGTGTAGACCAGAGCCCGTGAGGGTGGAAACTGCTCCACCTGCCATCCACACGGCAGCCACCGAGCCCTTGAACTCTGGCCAAGCCTGAGTGCAGCACCTCAGTGTACTGTTTGATTTAGTCTCGGTGTGGCCAGCTACACAGTTATAGATGCTTGACA